TATGAGAACACAAATATCCCCCCAAAAACTGCAATATCCCAAACCCCCTTTAAATTGCAGGATTGTATTCCCTTTTCCCGGACTCAAGTCCGACTAAAAGAAAATAAGGGGTTTTCCCTGAACCCCTTCACTAAATATTACCCTGCCACACCCCAAACAGATCGTCAGGTCCCCAAGATCATTCGTCTCCATTCATCCTATCAAAACGCCCACGCACGCTTCTGGAATCCAAGCCCCCCCCCGGGGTTAACAATTTTTTTTACTCTAGAAGAGTTCAGGTCCCAGTACTGACCAAATTTGTTCCCATAAGGAATATTGTGAAGTAGTTGTCCTTTCAGACCCCCAAAAAACATCACGCAAACGCACTTCATAAAAACACTTACAAAATGGTCCATTCGGAGGTGACGTTATGGGGGGGTACACTTTTTATTTTAAATTTAGTCGGACTTGAGTCCTAAAATGGGAAGTAAAATTCCTGCACTTTAAAGGAGGGGTTTGGGAATTGGCTTTGGAGGGGTATTTTTGTGTATCTTTTAGTGTATCTTCTAGACTTTTGTATTCTAGACCTCTGCAAAAAAAAGGATAATGTGCGAGTGTGGGAAAGGTTGAAAGATGATGAAATATTTTCTTTTTGGGGGTTTTTTTTTCTTTTTTGGGGGTCACCCGCCCGGTGGGGGGACGGCCCCACTTGTTTTAAAAAAAAAAAAAAAAAAAAAAAAAAAAATATATTAAATATTTATATAAAATTTTACAAAATATATAAATAATAAATAATAAATATTATAATAAAAATATATAATATGGTTCGGGCATGTAGAGAGAATGGAGCGAAAAAAGAATGCTTCAAGATGATCGTTGTAGGGAAGGAAGGCGGGGTAGGGGTCGGCCCAGGAAAAGGTTGGAGGGGGGGTTTAAAAAAGGGGGTTTTTGTGTGCGGGGGCTTGGACTTCCCGCAGGCATGCGTGAGCTTTTATAGGAGTGAATGGAGACAAAGGTTTTTAAAAATGACGTGCTTTGGGTTTGGCAAAGTAACTTTATGAAGGGATTCAGGAAAACCGGCGGCCGGACTTGAGTCTGGAGATTTGGGGGGTTTTCAGTGGCCCCACTCTGAGGAGGGGTGTTAATGTTGCAGTTTAAAAAACTTAGTGTAAAGCACCCCTTTGGGAAGACAGTAGGGGGAATGATGGTGAAAGTTTTTTTTTTTCGGGCCCCCTGCCTTGGGGGAATCGGCCGGTGTGTAAATTTAAAAAAAAAAAAAAAAAAAAAAATAAAATATATATATATATAATATATAAATTTAAAAAATCCAGTTAACAGGGGGGATTTAGAATATCCCCAAAAAAACCACTCTGAAAGAAAAGAGAAATTCCAAACGCTTTCGTGAGTAGTCACGAAAGCGCTTGGGAAATTTCTCTATTCTTTCAGAGTGGTTTTTTTGCATATAATATAATATATATAATATTTATATATATAAAATTTTAAAATATTAAATATAGGTTATAGGTATATATATAGGTATATAGTATATATATAGGTGTGGTAGGTAAGTTTGGGGTCCCCGGGTGTAAATGATATGGGCCCTTTGATTGAACTTTGTATAGAAAGGGGTTTAGTTATAGGTAATAATTATTTTAAGAAAAAGAGGATAAATAAGTATACACGATATGATGTAGGCGAAATGACAGTAGTTTGTTGGATTATGTATTGGTAGATAAAAGACTGTTGAGTAGAAATTCAGGATGTACATGTTTTAGAGCGGCCACAGATATATCAGATCACTTTCTAGTTGTAGCTACACTGAGAGTAAAAGGGTAGATGGGATACAAGGAGAATAGAAGCATCAGGGAAAAAGAGAGGTGAAGGTTTATAAACTAAAAGAGGAGGCAGTTAGGGTAAGATATTTAAACAGCTATTGGAGGATAGATGGGGTAAAAGAGAGCATAGGCAATGGGTCGAAGAGGTATGGGGTAGGTTTAAAAATGTTGTGTTAGAGTGTTCAGCAAAAAGTTTTGTGGTTACAGGGAAAATGGGTGCAGAGGGAAGAGGAGCGATTGGTGGAATGATGATGTAAAGAGAGTAGTAAGGGAGAAAAAGTTAGCATATGAGAAGTTTTTACAAAGTAGAAGTGATGCAAGAAGGGAAGAGTATATGGAGAAAAAAGAGAGAAGTTAAGAGAGTGGTGAAGCAATGTAAAAAGAGAGCAAATGAGAGAGTGGGTGAGATGTTTTCAACAAATTTTGTTGAAAAATAAGAAAAAGTTTTGGAGTGAGATTAACAAGTTAAGAAAGCCTAGAGAACAAATGGGTTTGTCAGTTAAAAATAGGAGAGGAGAGTTATTAAATGGAGAGTTTAGAGGTAATTGGGAAGATGGAAGGAATATTTTTAGGAATTGTTAAATGTTGATGAAGATAGGGAAGCTGTGATTTTCGTGTTAGGGAAGGAGGAATAACATCTTGTAGGGTGAAGGAAGAGCCGTTTGGTGTGGGGGAATTCGTTTAGGCAGTAGGTAAAAATGAAAGGGGGGGAAAGGGCCCGGGATTGATGGGGAAAAATAGAAAGTTAAAAGCAGGGGGGGATAAGTTTTGGAGTGGTTGGTGAATTTATTTAATAAATGTATGGAAAGGGAAAATACCTAGGGATTTTCAGAGAGCGCTAGTTCCTTTGTATAAAGGCAAAGGGATAAAAGAAGTGCAAAAATTATGGGGGGATAAGTCTTTGATGTACCCGGTAAAGTGTATGGTTTTAGTTATAATTGAAAAGAATTTGAGTAAGCGGAGAATAGGGACAGCAGAGAACAAGGAGGCTTTAGGAAAGGGAGGGGGTGTGTGGGCCAGGTGTTTACATTTGAAATATAAGTAAAACAGATTTAATAAGGCTAAAGAGGTCTTTGTGGCATTTATGGTTTGGAAAAAGGCGTATGACAGGGTGGATAGGGGGGCAATGTGGCAGATGTTGCAAGTGTATGGTTTTTGGAGGTAGGTTACTGAAAGCAGTGAAGAGTTTTTACGAGGATAGTGAGGCTCAAGTTTAGAGTATGTAGGAAAGAAGTGGGAAATTTTTTCCAGTAAAGTAGGGGCCTTTAGACAAGGATGTGTGATGTCACCGTGGTTGTTTAATATAATTTTTTGTGGGGTTGTAAGAGAAGTAAATTTGCGAGGGTCTTGGCAAGAGGCGTGGAGTTAAAAGATAAAGAAACACACAAAGTGGGAGTGTCACAGCGCTTTTGCTGTGACACTTGCTCTTGGGGGGATTCTGAGAGAAGTTGCAGAGATTGGTGGAGGGAATTTGGTAGGGTGTGCAAAAGAGAAAATAAAGGTGAATACAGGAAAAGAGTAAGGTTATGAGGATAACAAAAAGATTAAAGGTGATGAAAGATTGAATATCAGTTTTGGAGGGAGGGTATGGAGGAGTGAAGTATTAGTATTTGGGAAGTGGGTTTGGTCAGCGGATGGTCTATGGAAAGATGGGGTGAATCTTTAGAATTGTTTGGGGGGGAAAAAGAGTGAGTGGTGCACTTGGGAGTTGTGGAGACAAAGAACTTTGTCCTTGGAGGCAAAGAGGGGAATGTAGGAGAGTATAGTTTTACCAACGCTCTTTATGGGTTGAAGCGTGGGTGTTGAATGTTGAGCGAGGGAAGGCTGGAGGGCCGTGGAGATGTCATGTTGAGGGCAATGTGTGGTGTGAATTAATGCAGAGAATTCATAGTTTGGAAGTTAGGAGGAGGTGGGGTTACCAAAATGTTGTCCAGGGCTGAGGAAGGGTTGTTGGGGTTTGGTTCGGAATGTAGAGAGAATGGAGCGAAACAAAATGACTTCAAGAGTGTTTGTCTGTAGTGGAAGGGAAGGCGGGTAGGGTCGGCCTAGGAAGGTTGGAGGGAGGGGGTAAAGGAGGTTTTGTTGAGGAGGGCTTGGACTTCAGCAGGCATGCGTGAGCGTGTTTCATAGGAGTGAATGAGACAAATGGTTTTTAAAATTGACGTGCTGTTGGAGTGTGAGCAAAGTAACATTTATGAAGGGATTCAGGGAAACCGGCAGGCCGGACTTGAGTCCTGGAGATGGGAAGTACAGTGCCTGCATCTGAAGGAGGGGTGTTAATGTTGCAGTTTAAAAACTGTAGTGTAAAGCACCCTTTGGCAAGACAGTGATGGAGTGAATGATGGTGAAAGTTTTTCTTTTTCGGGCCACCCTGCCTTGGTGGGAATCGGCGGTGTGATAATAATAATAAAAAAAAAAATTATATATATATATATTTTATATATATATATATTATATATATATATTTTATATATATATTTATATATATATATATATATATATATATATATATATATATTATATATACATATATATATATATATATATATATATATATATATATATATATATATGTATATATATATATATGCAAAAAGATCACAGTAAACAGGTGATTTAAAAAAATATGCAAAACAACCACTCTGAAAGAATAGAGAAATTCCAAGCGCTTTCGTGACTACTCACATTATCAAGGAACTATGAAAGTGAAGCATCCAAGGAAGCTATATAAGGGGTCGGCCAGCACCTCACTATCAGATCCCACAACGGTTAAACACGTGACGCGCGGCGTCACGTGGAATTTCTCTATTCTTTCAGAGTGGTTGTTTTGCGCGCATATATATATATATATATATATTTATATATATATATTATATATATATATATATATTATATATATTATATATATAAAAATTATAATATTTATGGAGTGTAGTAACAAGGATTTTTAGGGCACTATGAATTTTTGGAGACTTTTCCCATCGAGCTTACACATAATTGCAACAAAATGTGTTATAAGAGGGTTTATTGTATATACAAATCAAACTATTACACACTGCACTATACATGGTATGAGAAAACTAATTCAGTGTGAAAGGTGACAATTATAATACTAAGCCATTAAGTTGGAAGGTTAATAGCACAGAAAAACAGCAAAACTGTACAATACAGGCTTCATGAACTCACCTGAGGTGCAGGGTAGACAGCTATTTCCAGTTTACTTTTTTTCCCATATTCAACTGATAAGCGCTCCATTAGCAGGGAGGCAAAACCAGAGCCTGTCCCACCACCAAATGAGCGAAATATTAGGAAGCCCTGAAATTGTAAATAAACTGAGTTAGCTTATTTATGAAGACTAATGTTCATTAACATAGTAGGACCCCCGTATCTGCAGGGGATACATTCCAAAGACCTGCCACGGATGCTGAAACAGCAGATAGTAGCGAACCCTACATATGACTTTTTTTTTCTTTCCATACATTATTATTATTATAAAGTGTAACTGCTGAACTACACACAATAAGTAGAGAATTATCACTTTTTTTTACTGATGTGAAGCACTTCATGGTTTCTCTTAGGCTTTGAAAAACTTCATCACTACTTGTGCACTTTGAGGCCATTATTAAGCAAAAATAAGGGTTATTTTTTGTGCCATGGCAAACCATGGATAACTGAAACCGAGGATACAAGACTCACAGATACAGGAGTCCCACTGTACATAATCTTCATATTAAAAACAGCACTAAACCCATTAGTCACACAGATGTGCAGTGCAATTTGTAATAGCTGGGGTTTGTTGAAGTGCAAAATTTATATCAAAGTTGGTACAATGTGTAAATTATACATAATACTGTTTGAAGGACTTCATTCACTCCCAATAATTTAAGTGCCTGAAAAATATTATACAGGAAGTGAAGATTCTCTGTACATTCTCTAGATATGCATCAGAAGGGACCCTTATGTATAAAATACTGACCTGAAGTCCTGTACATTGGTCTGCCAGCTTACGGAGTCTGTCAAGCACGAGATCAACATACTCCTTGCCAATGGTGTAATGCCCACGAGCATAATTATTAGCAGCATCCTCCTTGCCAGTGATCATTTGCTCAGGATGGAAAAGCTGACGATAAACTCCAGTGCGAACCTGATCTGAAAAGATTGCAAACAAGTCCACTGAAATTCTTACACACTTTTGGTCGACAACACAACCAGTCAGAAAATTTAAAACTATTTTCAAAATAGCAAAGAATTACACTTATATTGTTTTCCTTTAATTTCATTTACACCTGGATGATAAATGTACCTCTAATATGGAAAAAAGTAATCCATTTAACTACTGACAATAAACCATATCCACAATTATACATCAAAATTAATGACTGCAAATGGGAGAAAAAAAATTTGAGCTCATAATGAGCTCACTTAAAAATTATATAAAAAAAAATGTTGGTATACTTAAGAGCAATAATTATGTTTCAAAATCTATACTACTATAATTCTCTCTCTTACCCAGTAAACCCTCAATGTAAGTGACTAGGAGGGGGATTGTCCAAGGGATTGTTAACTCAGAATGAAGTTAGGTAAAGGACAAATCTCCTAGAGAGCAAATCGTCCAACTTGGACCATTAACTACTTACAAAAGTGTAAAGGGAAGGGAGTCAGAATATATACAAGAGGGAAACAAGGAACAGGATTTGTAGAACAAGAGGAGAGAGTAGTAATATTGCAGTAGTGGTAGTTAATAGCAGTAGTCATAGTATAGCAGTGATGAAGGGGCAGCATGTTATATTAGCAAATAAATAGTAGTAGCAATAGTGGAGGTAGTCTAAGGAATAAGAAAACAGGTCACTGCTGGAGAGCTAATGGCCAACTGTGGTAGGACAAAATCCCTGCAGTACAGAACACCACAGAACAGAACCCACTTAGGCAGATAACAGGAAAGGCAATGAAAATATAGCAAAAATTTAAATACTAAAGAGATGAGATGAAGATTAGATCAAGTTACAAGTGTTCTGAAGTTTGGAGTATTTGACAGTAATGAGAAAGGAAGGCATCTACAGACAAAACTATGACTTAAGATTCAGATTAGGGGGTGCTTTAACAAGACAGTATCAGTGAAGGCTTCTTAAAAGGGTAGAGAGACTTGGCACAATAGTAGTTAACAGGATGACTGATTTCTAACATACTAGTAACTGGTCCTCTGCTAAAACTGTCTAGCTGCCTTCTAGCCTCCACAAATGTTGTCTTATTGAAGCATCCCTTATATACAACACTCCTAATATGGATCTCAGTCCTGGCTTTGTCTCTGAAGGCCCTCCTTTCTTATTACATTATCAAAATGTTCCAAAACTTAAGAACACTTGACTACCTGATCTTTATCTCCTCCTCTCCCTACCTTTTCATCTTTCGTCTTCTGTATAGGCGAGTTCTGTCCTAAGGGATTTTGTTCTACCCCAGCTGACCATTAGCTGTCCAGCAGTGCTCCTCTTCTTTTCCCTTCAGACTACTTCCACTATTACTACTATTTCTTTAACACTCCACTCACCCATCTTTCTCCCACTACCTTCTTACTGCCACCTTTATCACCACTGTAATACCTCGTCCCATTCTTCCACTCCTGTCTAGTATATATTCTGCCTCCCTTACAACTGTGCTTCTCTGTGTGACTAGTTTTAGTATTTATTATTATCACACTGGCCGATTCCCACCAAGGCAGGGTGGCCCGAAAAAGAAAAACTTTCACCATCATTCACTCCATCAGTGTCTTGCCAGAAGGGTGCTTTACACTACAGTTTTTAAACTGCAACATTAACACCCCTCCTTCAGAGTGCAGGAACTGAACTTCCCATCTCCAGGACTCAAGTCCGGCCTGCCGGTTTCCCTGAACCCCTTCATAAATGTTACTTTGCTCACACTCCAACAGCACGTCAAGTATTAAAAACCATTTGTCTCCATTCACTCCTATCAAACACGCTCACGCATGCCTGCTGGAAGTCCAAGCCCCTCGCACACAAAACCTCCTTTACCCCCTCCCTCCAACCTTTCCTAGGCCGACCCCTACCCCGCCTTCCTTCCACTACAGACTGATACACTCTTGAAGTCATTCTGTTTCGCTCCATTCTCTCTACATGTCCGAACCACCTCAACAACCCTTCCTCAGCCCTCTGGACAACAGTTTTGGTAATCCTGCACCTCCTCCTAACTTCCAAACTACGAATTCTCTGCATTATATTCACACCACACATTGCCCTCAGACATGACATCTCCAATGCCTCCAGCCTTCTCCTCGCTGCAACATTCATCACCCATGCTTCACACCCATATAAGAGCGTTGGTAAAACTATACTCTCATACATTCCCCTCTTTGCCTCCAAGGACAAAGTTCTTTGTCTCCACAGACTCCTAAGTGCACCACTCACCCTTTTCCCCTCATCAATTCTATGATTCACCTCATCTTTCATAGACCCATCCGCTGACACGTCCACTCCCAAATATCTGAATACATTCACCTCCTCCATACTCTCTCCCTCCAATCTGATATCCAATCTTTCATCACTTAATCTTTTGTTATCCTCATAACCTTACTCTTTCCTGTATTCACTTTTAATTTTCTTCTTTTGCATACCCTACCAAATTCATCCACAAATCTCTGCAACTTCTCTTCAGAATCTCCCAAGAGCACAGTGTCATCAGCAAAGAGCAACTGTGACAACTCGCACTTTATGTGTGATTCTTTATCTTTTAACTCCACGCCTCTTGCCAAGACCCTCGCATTTACTTCTCTTACAACCCCATCTATAAATATATTAAACAACCACGGTGACATCACACATCCTTGTCTAAGGCCTACTTTTACTGGGAAATAATTTCCCTCTTTCCTACATACTCTAACTTAAGCCTCACTATCCACGTAAAAACTCTTCACTGCTTTCAGTAACCTACCTCCTATACCATACATCTGCCACATTGCCCCTATCCACCCTGTCATATGCCTTTTCCAAATCCATAAATGCCACAAAGACCTCTTTAGCCTTATCTAAATACTGTTCACTTATATGTTTCACTGTAAACACCTGGTCCACACACCCCCTACCTTTCCTAAAGCCTCCTTGTTCATCTGTTATCCTATTCTCCGTCTTACTCTTAATTTTTTCAATAATAACTACCATACACTTTACCAGGTATACTCAACAGACTTATCCCCCTATAATTTTTGCACTCTCTTTTGTCCCCTTTGCCTTTATACAAAGGAACTATGCATGCTCTCTGCCAATCCCTAGGTACCTTACCCTCATCCATACATTTATTAAATAATTGCACCAACCACTCCAAAACTATATCCCCACCTGCTTTTAACATTTCTATCTTTATCCCATCAATCCCGGCTGCCTTACCCCTTTTCATTTTACCTACTGCCTCACGAACTTCCCCCACACTCACAACTGGCTCTTCCTCACTCCTACAAGATGTTATTCCTCCTTGCCCTATACACGAAATCACAGCTTCCCTATCTTCATCAACATTTAACAATTCCTCAAAATATTCCCTCCATCTTCCCAATACCTCTAACTCTCCATTTAATAACTCTCCTCTATTTTTAACTGACAAATCCATTTGTTCTCTAGGCTTTCTTAACTTATTAATCTCACTCCAAAACTTTTTCTTATTTTCAACAAAATTTGTTGATAACATCTCACCCACTCTCTCATTTGCTCTCTTTTTACATTGCTTCACCACTCTCTTAACCTCTCTCTTTTTCTCCATATACTCTTCCCTCCTTGCATCACTTCTACTTTGTAAAAACTTCTCATACGCTAACTTTTTCTTCCTTACTACTCTCTTTACATCATCATTCCACCAATTGCTCCTCTCTCCTCCCACACCCACTTTCCTGTAACCACAAACTTCTGCTGAACACTCTAACATTACATTTTTAAACCTACCCCATCCCTCTTCGACCCCACTGCCTATGCTCTCACTAGCCCATCTATCCTCCAATAGCTGTTTATATCTTACCCTAACTGCCTCCTCTTTTAGTTCATAAACCTTCACCTCTCTCTTCCCTGATGCTTCTATTCTCCTTGTATCCCATCTACCTTTTACTCTCAGTGTAGCTACAACTAGAAAGTGATCTGATATATCTGTGGCCCCTCTATAAACATGTACATCCTGAAGTCTATTCAACAGTCTTTTATCTACCAATACATAATCCAACAAACTACTGTCATTTCGCCCTACATCATATCTTGTATACTTATTTATCCTCTTTCTTAAAATATGTATTACCTATAACTAAACCCCTTTCTATACAAAGTTCAATCAAAGGGCTCCCATTATCATTTACACCTGGCACCCCAAACTTTCCTACCACACCCTCTCTAAAAGTTTCTCCTACTTTAGCATTCAGGTCCCCTACCACAATTACTCTCTCACTTGGTTCAAAGGCTCCTATACATTCACTTATAATTTCCCAAAATCTCTCTCTCTCCTCTACATTCCTCTCTTCTCCAGGTGCATACACGCTTATTATGACCCACTTTTCGCATCCAACCTTTACTTGAATCCACATAATTCTTGAATTTACACATTCATATTCTCTTTTCTCCTTCCATAACTGATCCTTCAACATTACTGCTACCCCTTCCTTTGCTCTAACTCTCTCAGATACTCCAGATTTAATCCCATTTATTTCCCCCCACCGAAACTCCCCTACCCCATTCAGCTTTGTTTCGCTTAGGGCCAGGACATCCAACTTCTTTTCATTCATAACATCAGCAATCATCTGTTTCTTGTCATCCGCACTACATCCACGCACATTCAAGCATCCCAGTTTTATAAAGTTTTTCTTCTTGTCTTTTTTAGTAAATGTCTACAGGAGAAAGGGTTACTAGCCCAGTGCTCCCGGCATTTTAGTCGCCTCATACGACACGCATGGCTTACGGAGGAAAGATCCTTTTCCACTTCCCCATAGACAATAGAAGAAATAAAGAAGAACAAGAGCTATTTAGAAAAAGGAGAAAAACCTAGATGTATGTACATATATATATATGCATGTGCGTGTCTGTGAAGTGTTTACCTGGAGTTTACCTGGAGAGAGTTCCGGGGGTCAACGCCCCCGCGGCCCGGTCTGTGACCAGGCCTCCTGGTGG